AAATATGCAAAGATAAAGATACTAAATTGGTAAGGAAAATAGCAATGAGGGTAAAGAAAACATAATGAGCGATATATTGTGCCATTTTCTGACCCATGTTATAATGTTGTTTTCTCATCACTAACCTGGAGTTGTTTCATTTACACATGTTTAAAACACAAACCCTGCATATTTACATTCAGTTCTTCTGAGCTTTCACATGAGGCATGGCATGTTCATGAGGAAAACTTGGTCTCCTCAATCTGCAGGTTAAGGCACTGGCAACCCAGGAACAGTTGTTGTTGTAATACCATGTAAGAGTTGAAGTACCTGAATCCTCATTGGCACAATGAATTAATAAATAGGCCTAGTTTTATCAGTGAGGTTACATTTTTACATGCCTTGGTTGGTCTGTTAATTTGAATATTTGGAAAAGGCTAAGTAACCTGATTTCATTTTATTTATTTATTTATTTCACTGTATTTTTCCAACTTTTTTTTCAGATAATACTAAAGATATCTGTCATGAGGGAGTAAAAACTATTACCTTTTGATACAAAACACAACATGATCGCAGCCTTGAGGTTAACTGGATTTCTTTTAGTTTGGAAATGATTTTCCTATTGATCTGAGGCTTGAAACAATAGTAGAAAAGAGCACGATGTCCCCTGCCTCTCTGTACAATGAACTGTGGCAAATGGCTTCAATAATAGCTTTAAAGAGAGGTCCTCGGGGAGACGTTTGCGCTAGCGGCTCAGAGACACTGCTATAAATTCTGTGCCCTTTTGTGACAAGTAAATCCCTCTTGGTAGATGAGTCAGTATATCTCTCCTTTTACTACATCCCATAGTCATTTTGTTGAAGGTAGCAGCATTAGCTTTTGTCAAATTGGTTTACACAGTGAGGAAAGTCTCAGAGAAATTTTTGTTATGTACATTCACTTTTTTTGTTTTGTTTTGATTAGTTTATTTTCTAAACTTTTGAAACAGGAAAAGTTAATGCAAGGGATAACACTGTATTATATATATTTTCTGTTGCTTGCTTATTTCCATGGAGTTGTTATTGCTTTGGTTGGAATGTTCCACAGTATGGCATGAAAGGACACACTTTTTGAGACTGTGTTATACATTGTTCCCTCATCAAAGCATACCTGGCCTTTTATTTAGCTTTATTTATGCTTGTTCGATTAATCCTGTTGTGTAAATTCATTGACTCTAAAATACATGCAATTTTGAATTTCCAAGGATTGTCACAGATAAAAGTCTAGTAGTCCTGTGCTTTTTTTAAGTCTGTAAATTAAAATCTGAGCAGTTCTACTGTCCATTAAGACTGCATGCTTGTGTTGTGCATGTCAGAAAAGATTCCTGATTATAGTTGTGTGTTTTTTCAAAAGTAGTTCCCAGTACAGGGAGGGCATCTGTAGAAAAGAAGGTCTATTATCTGAAAATAGCCATTATTTTAAATTCTGAAACATGAGAAGCCAAAGTGAAGGTACTTAAGAGCCTAAATGCCTATAATAATATTTTAAAAATGCATAATATTTGTTCTTTAAGGTTATCTGTCCCTTTGGAGACTAGGAGGTGATGCCAGTAGGCCAGGCACAAGTCAGATCCGTGAAGAGGGGAACCTGCTTAGGGAAACAATGCATGGTTTTCATTGTATCTAATGTCAATCTCCCTAAATGAATAAATGCAAAGAAGATAATGCCATATGCCAGGGCAAACTATAACATCTCCATGGAGACAAACAGGCCGCAGAAAAACTCCATAGTGCACCTTTAACAGAAATTCATATGCATCCATTCACTTTTAACACCAACCGTATGCACTGGGCAGAGCTGACGAACTGCCCACCATCCAGAGGAGGAGAGGTTATTGTAAAGAAGAGTCACATAGAGAAATAGAGCCGCTGAGTTATTGTTGTATCCCTGAGCAAGGCACTTCAAACTGCCAAATAACAAAATGTGTGTGTGTGAATGTGACTATATGAGATGGTAACTGTAGAGTCAAGGCAGCCCAGAGACAGCGTTGGATTTCTAGGGTGATTAATAAAGCCAATGGGAGTGTTTATTAAATCACTGTATATAATGAGTTTGAGTCCCAGTGATGCTTAAAATTGATCTGTCAACCTGAATGTGTCTGTGTGACAAACACTAATTTTATTACATTATTATATTTTTTTCTTACCTCCATACATTAAAGCTGGGGCATTTAACTTTATTCTTGCAAATGAACAAATTTCAGTTAACTCAATTACACATTGACAAAATGTGACCACTTCAAGTTGTTTATTAGATCTTGTAATAAAGTGTTTTATCTTTCACAAAGTTAAAATAAAGTAAACAATAAAGGCAAAAGGAGAAGTTCAATTTGTCAGTTGGACAAACGTTTATTTCAGTCAAATATGTTTCGTAGCTCATCCAAGTATTTATAGATTGTGCACGACCGGAGATGTGTGAACTGAATTGCCCTTAGGGATTAATAAAGTTGTTGATTGACTGATTGAAGCTGCTTCTTCAGTTCTGGTCAGACACTGCCTTATATCTGCCTGCAGGGGGAGCTAACTACACTGAAACTACTCTGAAACTAACACCCTACTTGTTCACAATTCTGTTTGTTAGCTAGGCCTGAACATGCAGTGTGGGGTCATATCAGCATAATCCAATAATTTATATATGGAACAATTGAACAGAGTGCCTTGGCCTCTTATCCAGGAATTCCACCCACACATTGGTATCGATATGTGGATAAGAACTTTTCTAAAATCAGAACTCAAGATTTGGAACGTTTTACTGCTCATATTAACACTGTAGATCTGAACATCAAATTCATGCCAAGGAGAACACATTAGCTTTCTTAGATTGTGCAGTAACAATAGGAGAAGACCGGCGACTCCAGGTGGAGGCCTTCAGGAAGCTCTCACGGACCAATAGAATGATTCTGCTAATATGACCCCACACTCAGGTTCAAGTGCAAGTTCAATAGGCCTAGCTAACTAACAGGTAAGGTAGGTGTGTTAGTTTCAGAGGAGTTTCAGTGTAGTTAGCTCCTCCCTTCAGGCAGATATAAGGAAGTGTCTACCAGCGTCTGACCAAAACTGAAGAAGCAGCTTGGATGAACTGAGAAATGTTGCCATAGATTCTACCTGGACGACTGAAGGATTTTACACACGTAAACGATAAAGCTAACAACAATTACCATGCAAAGCTCTCACTTCCTGATTATCGGACACTATGCTTTATAGTTAGATGCAGACCACATGCAGCTGGGACAAGAACATGGACTGTATATATAAAGGGACATGGCTAACCCATTAGCTTCCGTGTTCTAAATATGAAGTGAGCAGTGGGTGCATTTCTGACTCTAAAGATTCTGGTTCGAATTCACTTTCTATTAAAAAACTGTCGTCACTCTCTTTGGAACTGCTGCTGTCAGATTTGTCATTTTGGTCTTAAAGTGTTCGTATTGATCCACGCTATATGATCCTGCTGTTTTTATTTGTTGTCTATAAATCAAGGTATGAACATTTATAACCTACCAACCAGGCGTCTTCTTTCCCTGAGGTCACTACTTCTTTGTACAGTCTATGGAAACAAGAGATTTTGCTCAAATACTTGGGGAAATAAGGTACAGGGCCTTTAAATAAATTGAAAATGAAGTACGGCAGCTTTAAAGGCCCTGCTAATGCCAACATAAACTCTGAACACAATACACAGCTGGCTTGTTCTTTTCGTTCATCTTTGAGTGCATTACCTTTAAGAGCGGAGCCGTTTAGTGTACAGGGACTGCTTGCTGAACACTATTTACCATCTGACTTCCAGCAGAATCTTTTACTTTGCACTTTTACAACAATCCAGCCATCTGTAGCTTTCAACAAAATAGAATATGAGTAAACTTTGGAGGTACCTGGGAGACGTATACCGATAAACAAGGGAGGTGTAATGAATAGTTTTATGAATGAATAAATTGGCACTTAAATTGCAGCAGGTAGAGCTGTCAACACGATCACAGAGAAGATGAGTTGTATTTGGAACTAGTACAACTTTTCTTTTCGGATTAAACTAAACACAGACTGCAAAAATAGTTGAAATATTTTACAGATTTTAACAGCAAATGAAGTAACAACAAAGGAACACTTAAAATGTCTTCATACATCGTGTGACATACTTACACTCATAAATAAATCCAGAATTATTGTTTCTTGAAGCAGTAGTTCTAAATAATAATAAGTAACTTAAGTTGAAGTAGTAGCAGTAAGTATTATAGTTTTAAAAGGCGAGACCTGGCAAAATATCTGTGATGGTGAAAAAGCACGTGTGTGGTGAAAAGGAGAAAGATGGGGAGGCTGAGCAGGCTTGTGCTGCTGGGGTGGAGATGCAAAGCAGGACGGCATGGAAGCTTCTTCTTTTATTTCATTATTTATTTATTACACCAAACTGTCTCTTGTGAGCTTTTTAGCCATGTTGTAATGTTGTTTTGTTTTTCACGCATGTTTGAGTAATCCTAAGTCTGTACATTTACAAAGCTCAGAATGCTCTGTTCCATCTTGTGATGTCATGCAGTGTTTTCACAGTTTTCAACAGCTCCTTTTACTTTTAGTTCAGTAGAGATTGGCAATTCCAGGGTTTAAAATGATCTTAAAAATCTTAATAATTCTAGTGAAGGTGTATGGAGTTTACAAGCACAGCTCTTCCCGTATTACCCCATGACATCACAACGTGGAGCCGTGTTTTCCGTTTGAGAGAAGAACCAAAGGAGGTTTTGTTGGTTAAACGTGTGAATGACACAACATCCAACTTCAGGTCTGTCTGTGATGAGGAACCAGCATTATAACATTGATCAGAAAACAGCGTATTTTGAGCCCTTTAAGAATGACTTTATCTCGACTCTTAACCCTATTGTAAACACGGACTTCCTGATTGCATTTCCATCATTTCTTTTTGATCTAAAATGGAAACAAAACTTGGAATTTGAAGATTGGTTAATTTTGATTGGAGAGAGCTTGTTTTTTGTGTGTGTGCAGATGGCTATTGTTCACCGGAATGGGACGGAATTGTGTGCTGGCCAGAGGGTTCCCCGGGACGGCTGGTCTCTATCCGGTGTCCTGAGTACATCTACGACTTCAACCATAAAGGTGAGTCCAAGAAACCAGCTGTCTGTTTCTCTTCTTTTTTACAATTAAATTAAATCTAACTAGAGTCCCGTGGGTTTTCATTAGGAAACATGCTTTGCTCATGTGTGTACAAATGACCAGTGTGGAGAAAGACAGTGGGAACATGATTCTATGTGCTCTTGAAATGTTGAATTATTAATACAACATTTTAATAAAACAAGGTCTTTGGGAAAATATAATTGTTAAAAAATACACAATAAATATTAATCAACTTGTGGAAAAATGTGTCCTTTTTTTCCTTGTAAAATTTGTAGAAATACAAATGTTTTCATGCTTTTTGGGGGCATTCATTTAATTTACATCAACCAAAATGATCGCTTGTTTGCTTCAATTAACCCATTTTTTAAAGCAACACTGTGCAACTTTCTGTAGGTGTCATATCACCTGCATGATCAGAATCTTGATTAAAAGTTACCTATCACCTTCATATACTGATGTGGACTAAGTGACATGTAAGTGTGACGTCAGCTATAGCATTTGGCTTAAGCCAAATGAATCTCATCAAGGCTAGCAGGTATAGGGGCCAATCTGGAGCAAAGTTCCATATTTGGAATTCTGATTCGGGGTAAGAAGGCAGCTAGTTATTAATGTTTATATGTTGATTTACAGACAAAGAGAGCCAAATAAAAACCTCAGAATTATGTAAAGGAGGTTAATACAAACATTTTAAGATCAAAATGGTGAGCCTGACAGCAGTAGTTACAGAGAGAGAGGTGACGGTTTTTCAGTAGAAAGTGAACTGGAGCAAGAAGTACGCCCATGCTCACATCCTGTTTGGAATGTGGCAGTCAGTGGGTTAGCCGGGTCCATTTATGTCCAGTCTATGATGACTGTACATACATTTAGTCCAGTTTTAATAAAGTATTGTAATTGTAGTAATATTCTACTATGGTAAATTTTCAGGACACGCGTACCGGCGGTGTGACAACAATGGGACGTGGGAGCTGACCTCGACCAACAACAAAACCTGGGCCAATTACAGCGAATGTGCCAAGTTCCTGTATAACCAGAGTCACAACAAGGTACAGTCAACAGAATGGAGTCAACACTAATCAAACAGCAACAGAGATAATTTAAAGGTGCACTGTGTTTAACCTTCTTGTCTCCATGGAGATGTGTCAAGAATGTTCCACAGTATGGCCATAAACTTAAGACTCTCCATGGAGACTTGCAAGCCAAATTACAATTTAGATTTGTAGAGAGGCCCACTCACAGTAAGAATGGATGTTTTTTTAAGATATTTTTGAGCAGTAAACAGCACCTGTAGCTCAATAAATGCAAGACAGATTAGTGTAATGCCATACTGTGGACAATTTAAACCAAAGCATTAATGTCTCCATGGAAACAAACAGGTTGCAGATCCTCTCCAGAAAAGTTACACAATTCACAATTAATATTTAATTTTCTACTAAAGAATGTCAACAAATTCTCTTGTTACAACTCTAATATGTGCCTCCCAGTCGAAATCCCAATGGAGCACTAGTATTATATGTGAAAAACAGTGCCTCGCTTGATGGAGGCTTAAAAAAATAAGGCCAGCTGGTGTAAATAAATTTTCCCCATGGTTTGTTTAAACTATACTTAAAAGGAGTTTAAATTGTCCTTGAACATCATAGCTAGTATTTACTTAAAGGGACACTATATCTCTTCCGGTGGACAGTCTGCCACCTGGCTGCCTTCAGATGTTATTGTTTGGAATGTTCCACAGTTTGTGACTCAAATCATTGGTCTCCAAGGAGCAATCTGTCCTTGTGTCTTTAAAGCTCCTATATTACACAAAATTGTAATGCTGTAACTTCATGAAAAATTTTATTTTATTTTTTTTACAATAGCTTCAGAAAATGGCATTTGTGGATTTCTGGATATACATTTTAGAATGTGAACTCAACCTAAATGAAGTATGAGCCCAGGTTCCTGGTTTAAAAGGCTTATAGTTGTAAAGGCAATATGAACATGCACAAAAAGAAATATAGCTCAGTAGTTAACTACTGTACTGCATGTATGTGAAGATTTGTCTAAAGTAAAGAAGGAATAACAAAATGGCGGCTTATTTTTGTATAATTTTGTTTGGCATATTTTTTACATGTTCATAGTGATTTTGTGAAATGCTCCCTTTTACCTTTTGTTCAGTAGAGATGGGCAATGCCAGGGCTGAAATGATCCAAATGATTCTAATGAAGGTGTGTGGAGTTTAAAAACACAGTTGAGTACATGACATCACAAGGTGGAACAGAGAGAAGAACGCCGCCTAAATATGCAAGGCTTGCATGTTAAATGTGTCAACAACTCCAGGTGTGTTTGTCATGAGGAAACAACATTATAACATACAGTAGATCAGAAAATAGACACTTTACGCACCTTTCCTCTACTGTCCATGCCCATATCTCATAGCAAGAAAGTTGCGAGTTCAATGCACCTGTGCCATCTTTCTGTGTAGTTTGCATGTTTGCATCTTTATAATTTGATGTTTTTGTTCTTACACCTGGTAATATAAAATGACGGCAGGGCTTAAACAAGGAAGTGCCTGCAAGGACCTTTACACTGTTTTACCAACTTTATTTATCCCCCTGAACAGTGCAGTAAATGAGTTAAACGTGCATTGTGTAAGTTTTCAGGTGGTCTGTCAAAAGCTTTTCTCCATGGAGATGTTTTTGCATTGTTTGGAATGTTTCACATTATGTCATTACCTTAATCATCTTCATGGAAACCAAACGAGACCAAATTACAGGTCAGATCTGTGGAGATGCAGCTCACAGTAAGAATCCCTGTTTTTCTAGGTATTTTTGAGCTATAAAACCACCTGTAATTGAATCAATGTAAGGTAGAGCTGTTTAATGTCACACTGTGGAACATTCCAGGCAGAGCAGTGACATCTCCAGAAAAACAAGCAGGTGACGGACCCTGAACCAAAAAGACATAGAAAAGCAGAGCACAACATCCAGGCAATTTTGGGTTTTGTCACAAGGGTTTGGTGAGGTAAGACTTGGAGGTTGGGAGGAGAAGTCTTTTAAGATATAAAAGATATGATATAAAACAGCTCTCAAAATTGTTCTAACAGTTTCGAAACCGCTCCAACCCGGGCAGAGATCCTGTGTGTCTGGCAGTCAGGATAATTGGCCACTTTAAACCACCTCATCTTTCATTGTATCCCAAAAGATGCATTCAAATGTTGCGGGCCATTTCGTCATCACTATAAACTGACTTGTACGGAATTGCATGTGTGTGTCTTATTTTTTATTTTTTTAGTTATATAATCTTTCAAAGTCAAGTTACCTTCAGCACCTGCCACTTTGTTTTTTTTATAAATGTAGTCTGTGATTGAAACTGTTTTTTTTCTGGTGCAGCACATCAAATTAGCTGCTTCATACTTGTTGTAATTAACGCATTCATTCGAGATTTTATGCCAGATGCCCTTCCCGCGTGCTGCCTGGCACGTGGACTATAGGCGAGATTCATTGTTGACAAAAGTGCGCGTTGCATGCTGGGAATTATTTTGGTCGCCGGCAAGAAACACTAATTCAACATGACGCACGGTGCGAGAAAGCACGTAAAGGGTACTGATCCCGGTTATTTATCCACTCTAACGGTAGAGGACCCAGGACCATTTGACCAGAAATTGATCATAAGCATCGAGTGACAACAAATCACCCTTTTCAACCCCTACAAAAGGTGGACCAAACCAAATTTCTGGTCAGAATCGCCAACTACCTGAACAAATATTCACTTTTGCGATATCCACAATGACTTGGTGGAAACTCCTGGGCCATTCACAGCAGAAAAGATGAAAACCTTCAAGAGTCTCGATGTGTTGTTGAACTTGTTGGAGTCCACAGTTTGCTCGGATCTTCTACGTTTGCTCTGCGAATGTTTGAAAGTCATTTAATTCGCCGTTAGCGGTTCTTTTCACTCAAAATACGAAAAAGACATTTTCCTTCTTCCGTGCTTCTATTTGTGCATCCGATAATGCAGCAGGAATTGACCGTTATCGGGGATAAATACGTGAGCTTACACACTGTGTTTGACTGCTACCGTGTTTCTTGCCTCCGACCAAAATATTTCCCAGCATGCAACGCGGGCTTTTAATAACAATGACGTCAGCTGAAACTCGCCTATACAATGGGAATGAAGTTACGACTGTTATTAGGCCAACGTGTTTGCATGGATACATAAGAAAAAATGCTGGTTAGTTTTGTTTTTCTTTCTAATCTTCAAATAATCAGGAAATGCGCAGTTAGCATCCTTGTTGTTGTTAACTTTACAGTAAAACTCCGCTCTGGCCTCTTTGAGCAGAGTGCTTATAAACTCAATGTGGTGTCTAACTAGGACGCTCAGAATGGATAACTGGGGATTAACTTTGGACCACTGCAAACTGTTAAAAATGAAACAATTTTAATGTTTTTCAGACTGTAAAAATCAGGTACAGCACCTTTAAAATATTTGACATGTGGATGAAAGCAGATGGTAAAAATATAGTTGGCCTCCTAACATTTGCATTTAGTCTACATTCACTCTGTCAAGTTAATTAATATTGACTATTGAAACGCATGCAATCTATACAAAATAGATTTAAACATATTTTCAGGAGCTGGTGATCAATACATGCATTCATTAAACCTAAACATTATTGATCCACAAGGGAAATGATTTGGACACAGCAGCTCACACATCACAATATAATCTAATAACAAAGTGATTGACAGGACATAGGGTTATCTGTTCCATAAGGGTGAGTTGTTGTACAGTTGTAGGGAGTATTATCTGTTCCATAAGGGTGAGTTGTTGTACAGTTGTAGGGAGTATTATCTGTTCCATAAGGGTGAGTTGTTGTACAGTTGTAGGGAGTATTATCTGTTACATAAGGGTGAGTTGTTGTACAGTTGCAGGGAGTATTATCTGTTCCATAAGGGTGAGTTGTTGTACAGTTGTAGGGAGTATTATCTGTTCCATAAGGGTGAGTTGTTGTACAGTTGTAGGGAGTATTATCTGTTACATAAGGCTGAGTTGTTGTACAGTTGTAGGGAGTATTATCTGTTACATAAGGGTGAGTTGTTGTACAGTTGTAGGGAGTATTATCTGTTACATAAGGATGAGTTGTTGTACAGTTGTAGGGAGTATTATCTGTTACATAAGGGTGAGTTGTTGTACAGTTGTAGGGAGTATTATCTGTGTTACTGGAGTATTAGTTGTTGTACAGTTGTGTACAGGAGTATTATCTGTTACATAAGGTGAGTTGTTGTACAGTTGTAGGGAGTATTATCTGTTACATAAGGGTGAGTTGTTGTACAGTTGTAGGGAGTATTATCTGTTACATAAGGCTGAGTTGTTGTACAGTTGTAGGGAGTATTATCTGTTACATAAGGCTGAGTTGTTGTACAGTTGTAGGGAGTATTATCTGTTCCATAAAGGTGAGTTGATGTACAGTTGTAGGGAGTATTATCTGTTACATACTGGAAGGCTGAGTTGTACAGTTGTAGGGAGTATTATCTGTTCCATAAGGGTGAGTTGTTGTACAGTTGTAGGGAGTATTATCTGTTCCATAAGGGTGAGTTGTTGTACAGTTGTAGGGAGTATTATCTGTTACATAAGGCTGAGTTGTTGTACAGTTGTAGGGAGTATTATCTGTTACATAAGGGTGAGTTGTTGTACAGTTGTAGGGAGTATTATCTGTTACATAAGGGTGAGTTGTTGTACAGTTGTAGGGAGTATTATCTGTTACATAAGGGTGAGTTGTTGTACAGTTGTAGGGAGTATTATCTGTTACATAAGGCTGAGTTGTTGTACAGTTGTAGGGAGTATTATCTGTTACATAAGGGTGAGTTGTTTGTACAGTTGTAGGGAGTATTATCTGTTACATAAGGGTGAGTTGTTGTACAGTTGTAGGGAGTATTATCTGTTACATAAGGTGAGTTGTTGTACAGTTGTAGGGAGTATTATCTGTTACATAAGGCTGAGTTGTTGTACAGTTGTAGGGAGTATTATCTGTTACATAAGGCTGAGTTGTTGTACAGTTGTAGGGAGTATT